ACCACATGCTCTTGGTGGCACCTTCTGATGGCTTCCTTGAGCCAGGTGTCCCTGTTGGTGCTGAGGGACCACCATGCAGTACCTCCCTTCTGCTCCCTCAGCACTCCTGAACAGCGAGTGCTGTGGAGTGCTGGGACTCAAAGGCAAACACCATGGCTGTGTTGGGAAGACACTGCTGCTTGAAAAACAAAGCAGCAGCTGCTAAATTGCATCCTTTGTGTCGTCCTAGAACAACAGCAACCCAGCAGAGGATCTCCGCCGCGCCCCACCAGGACTCCTTGCTCTGGACAACATGGTGTATTTCTCCAGGAACACCCCTAATGCCTACAGCAGGGTAGGTGCTGTGCTCTCCCAGGGAACTCCCTGATGGAGAAGTGCTGGTGGATCTCCACCTTCTTTTCCTTTCTTTGTGATTGATCTGTCCTTGGCCACACCCAGGCAAGTGTCCCTGCTCTGTTTCAGATGGAGATGAGTCCTTCCTGTGGGTGGGAGAAGCCATTTGAGGCCAGTGCCTCTGAAGGGTCCCCATAATTTTTAAGGGTTTGCTCACAGCTTGGTTTCCAGGCCTTGAGCAAACTGGGGCAGTTTGGACAAAGCCAGCAGGGCATGAGCCATGCTCCAACCTGCAGTGCCTGTGACGAGCTCCTACACTGCCACAAGGGAAGGAGGAGGCTGGGGCTGGATTTTGGGAAGAGTGGGTCACTTGTGTTAGAGATGGCTTCACCTATTGGGGGGACAGCTTAACTAGGAATGCAGGAGGAGCGTGGCAAGTCTGACACCCACTGTTAGGGCAGCCCTCCAAATCCATGTAACATGAGGTTATGGCCCTCTTCTCCAGTTTATCCTCGAGAACAGCAGCCGGGAAGACAAACACGAGTGTCCCTTTGCTCGGAGCAGCATCCAGCTCACTCTGATCCTCTGCGAGATCCTGCACATTGGAGAGCCGTGTACGTGTGCCCAAGCTTGTCCTTCTCCCTGCCCTGCTGCTTGGGGAACAAACTGCCAGGGCAGGGGACTGCATCCATGTGGCCACCAGGCTCTGGCATGGCTGACAGCATGGGAAGGGGATGTAGGGCTGGGAAATACCCAGGTTTCCCTGGACACTGAAATCCCCTGGAAAACTGAGGAGTCTGGCTTCATCTGTCCTTCTCACCACAGGCTCGGAGACGGCTCAGGCCTTTTACCCTATGTTCTTCGGGCAGGATCATTTCTTTGAAGAGCTGTTCTGCATCTGCATCCAACTGGTGAACAAGACCTGGAAGGAGATGAGAGCAACTCAGGAGGACTTTGACAAAGTATGGAGGGATGCTTCTTCCCTGCGTGGGAGTACAAATTCAGGGATTTGGGGAGTGTTGCCAAACTGGAGTTGACGTCCTGGGCCTGGCAGGTGATGCAGGTGGTGCGGGAGCAGATCACCAGGACCCTGTCCCTCAAGCCCACGTCCCTGGAGCTGTTCAAGACCAGAGTGAACACACTGAACTACAGCGAGATCTTGAAGCTGCGGCAGACGGAGCGGCTGCACCAGGAGGAGACGCTGGCTGTGCCTGTGCTGTGAGTGGGCTGTGGGCAGGGAGGGGAGCTGTGATGGGGGCCTGGGGCAGGGACAGTCAGGCTGGGAGGTCAGTGAGTGCCTGTTGAAATGGCTGTGCTCCTCTTGTGCTGGCTCTCACTGCAGGGAGCTGCGGGAGAAGCTGAAGCCGGAGCTGCTGGAGCTGATCCGACAGCAGCGCCTGCTGCACCTCTGTGAGGGAACCCTCTTCCGCAAGATCAGCAGCCGCCGCAGGCAGGGTGGGTGCACAACCCTGCTCCAGGGTGGGGGGCCTGGCAGGGGCACAGAGGCTTATTCCCATGTCCCCTGCCACTGGGGAAGTCCCAGTTAATCTGTGGGAGCAGAATGCCCAACTCCCTGGACAGCTGGTATTGGCTGTCCCATGGGCTGGGAGGAATGGGGAGTGCTGATAAGAGGGCAGCTCCATGCCCCATGGGAAGGGCATCTCTGCAAGGGGAGGCTGAGAATTTCTCATGGCTCTTCTCTGCAGACAAGCTGTGGTACTGCCGCCTGTCCCCCAACCACAAGGTGCTGCACTATGGGGACGTGGAGGAGGGGGTGCAGTCTCCCCCCATCGAGAGCCTGACAGAGAAAAGTAGGTGATGGAGAGAAGGAGAGGGTGGGAAGGAGGGAGGGGAGCCCTCTGATAACCTCCAGGTTAAGACTGCCTTAAGGTGGGAATTGCCCCTTTGCTTGGCTGCTGCATGGCTGTCCCAGTGTCTGCTGGTATTGTGGGACTGGGAGCTGTGGGAGTTCAGGCTGGGCCAGACTGGCTTCCCAAAGGGTGCTGCAGAGTGGCTTGAGCCCCCCACCCCAAGCTGTGGATGGCTGTGAGTCCCCACATTTGGGTTGTACTGGGCTCTGCACATGGGGGACCTGAAGGAGGAGAGGGATGGGAAGAGGGAGAAGGAATTCATAGCTCTTCCACTTGCTGCAGTTCCTGTGGCAGACATGAAGATGCTGCTGGTGGGGAAGGAGTGTCCACACACAAAGGAGAAGAGCTCTGGGAAGCAGAACAAGGTCAGCATTTCATACCGTATCCTGTCCAGCTGGGAGTGGGTTTTGGGAGTGGGTGGATGGTGGCACGTTGTGTGCTTTCATGGACAGAGACCTCTTGGGTCTCTTGGAGTGCAGAGGAGGAGGCTGGGTGCAGCTCCTGCTCTGAACCCCACCAGGGCTGGGAGGAGTCCAGCTGAGAAGCCAGCTAGCCCCTGTGCTGTCCCTGCAGGATGTCCTGGAGCTGGCCTTCTCTATTGTGCACGATGTGGAGGAATACTGCCTCAACTTCATTGCCCCCACCCGGTACGAGGTGAGCTCCAGGGGCCTGCTGGGGTGGCACACAGTGCCCAAGATGTGGTGCCAGGGCACAGCAGTCAGGGAGTGAGCTCTGTGTGTCCCTGGGGGGTGGAAGCCACAGCAGGGGAGAGATGGGCTCTCTGGCTGCCCAGGGCTGGTGTCAGAGATGCCCATGCTCTGCTTCCCCAGTTCTGCCTCTGGACAGATGGGCTGAATGTGCTTCTGGGCAAGGAGATGACAAGTGAGAGAACGCAGACAGACCTCGATGTCCTGCTGTCCATGGAGCTCAAGCTGCGGCTCCTGGACCTGGAGAACATCAGCATTCCTGACAACCCCCCTCCCATCCCAAAGCCTCCCAGCAACTTAAACTTCTGCTATGACTTTAGCCATGCAGAGCAGTGAGTTCCTCCCTGTGCCCTGTCCCCACCCTCTATGCCCCTCAAAATCAAGTCCCTCCCTCCAGGCTCTGTCCCTCATCTCTGGCCGAAAGGGACAGGCCAGGTGCTGCTGGGGGCATGGGTGTCCCACCCTTCCCTGCCTGTGTCCTGCCTCCTGCAAGAGCATGGGAATGAGCCACCAAGCATTAGCCTCCTGTTCAGGGGGGGTGACCTGGCTGCTCTGCCCCCTGCCATGGGGAGGTGAGATGAAATACAGACAGTCAAACCCCTCTGTGGTGGCACTGCTTCCCCCACACTGCAGCCAGGCTTTGGGCAGAGGGGGCAAGGATGTGGACTGGTATAAAGGTACAGGCAGCCCTGGTTTTAGCTGGAGGGGGAGTAACACTACAAAGGTACCAATCTGCACTGCCTCACTTTTGCTATCAGTGTAGGAGATCCTTTCTGGACAACAAAGTGGTTAGAAAAAGGATGGAACACACCTTTCCATTAAATTTGTCAAGCAGATGGCATCTCCAGGGGATGATGCCCTGCCAGGTCCCTCCTGCACTGAAAGGTGTTTTTGCTGAGCCCTCTGCACTTTCCTGGAATGGGGGTGATTAGGGTACAAGCCTGTTTTTCCCACCACCATTCAGTTGACCCTGGTGTGCCCATCGTGCCAATTCCAGTGCCTTCCCCACCTGGGGCAGATACTTGCACACTTCAGCCATGCTGCTGCACTACTGCACCACGAGCTACCTCCTCCCCGGCCCCACAGCCCCACCCCAGTGCCCTGCACCTCCTCGTGCCTGCAGCTCCTCCCAAGGGTGTTGTGCTAACACAACCACAGGTCGGTGGGGATCCAGCCGTGCCTCTGTCTCCTGTGTATTGGGACAATAAACACTTGTGGAGAACTCGGAGCCGTGTCCTTTCCAAAGGTTTGGTGAAGGGCTCAGGCTGACTCAGGGTCAAAAGGAGCCAGAGTGGGTAAGGCTGGGATGGCAAAACTGTGGGAGCTGTGCATGAAGAAGCCAAAAAGATCTTGGCTGGCAAGATCTTGTTCCTGGTGTTGAGGTGCAGGCTCAGAGTCAGGCTCCCTACAGCTAAGGCTATTTACAGCCCAGGATGGCCGGGAGCACTGTGGATGGTCCCAGTGCCATGCTGGACAATCTTTCTGTTCCTTTGCGTTGTTACTCGCACAGTGAAGTTCTTCCCAGTTCGCTTGTCCAGAAAGGGTGTGGAGTCTGCTTCACCGGAGATATTCAAAAACCACTTCTGGGAAGACCCTGCTTGAGCAGGGAGGTTGGACCAACTGACCCTTTCCAGCCTCGTTATTCCGCGATTCCGTGGGAGGACCGCGGGGCAAGGCCGTCCCCTCCCGACCCGAGGTGCGCCCAGCCCGCCCGTCCCCGGCTCTGTCCCGCCCGTCCCGGGGCTCTGTCCCGCCCGTCCCGGGGGCTCTGTCCAGCCCGTCCCCGGCTCTGTCCCGCCCGTCCCCGGCTCTGTCCCGCCCGTCCCGGAGCTCTGTCCCGCCCGCCTGGGGCTCTGTCCCGCCCGTCTCGGGGCTCTGTCCCGCCCCGGAGCTCTGTCCCGCCCCGGGGCTGTGTCCCGCCCGCCCGGAGCTCTGTCCCGCCCCGGGGCTGTGTCCCGCCCGTCCCCGGCTCTGTCCCGCCCGCCCGGAGCTCTGTCCCGCCCCGGAGCTCTGTCCAGCCCGTCCCCGGCTCTGTCCCGCCCGTCCCGGAGCTCTGTCCCGCCCCGGGGCTCTGTCCCGCCCGCCCGGGGCTCTGTCCCGCCGCTTCCGTCGCGTCACGTCCGCGGGAAGCGGAGCGCGGAGCCGGCGCGGCCATGGCGGTGAGTGCGGGGCCGGGGTTGCGGGGCCCGGGACTCCGGGGAGACGCTGACCGCCTCTCTTGGCTCCGCAGCCCAAGGGGAAGGCGGGCACCAAGGGCAAGAAGCAGATCTTCGAGGAGAACCGGGAGACGCTGCGCTTCTACCTCCGCATCATCCTGGGAGCCTCCGTGAGTGCGGCCGGGCGGGCCGGCGGGGCGCGGGGCCGGGTTGGGAGCGGGCAGACGAGGAAAGCTGTGCCGTGTTCTCTCCGCAGGCCGTGTACGCCGTAGTGAACCTGGTCATCTTCTACTCCGCCGCCTCCGCCTGGACGTGGGTAAGCGCCGGCACCGTGTTCTGCCCCGGCGGGGGCACCCGGGCTGGGGTTCGTTCCTGGGCCCCGGGGTCGCGGCCATCGCAGCTGACAGCGCTTCCCTGTTGCAGGTCGCGTTCGTCTTCAGCTTGGTGGTCTACGGCACCAGCTACCGGTCCATGAACTCCATGGCAAAGCCGTCTTTCACAGACGATGGCAGCCTTGCCGACGGGGGAATTGACCTGAATATGGAGCAGGGGATGGCAGAGTGAGTGTCCACACCCGCACGAGTCCAGGTGAGCAGGACCTGCTGCCTGAGCGTGCACACAGAGCCAGGAGAGGCTCCCGATGACGAGGCTGGGCCTCAGCTCCCTCCTCAGCTTGCCCACTGGCATGGGCATGAGGGGAGCTGGAAGTTTGGAGCCATTGTTTCTCAGAGTGTACCTTAACTGTCCTTATTACCTGAACACCTGGCTTGGTGGGCTCCAGTCAGGAGCCACAACATGGGTGTGTCAGCCTGGCACGGTCACTGTCTACAGGGCTGAGCTGTAGAGGTAAGAGATCACAAAGAGTTCAGCAGGAGTAGTTTACAATCATCTTTCAGTTAACAAACACTGCTGCAGCACACAGTGATAGGTATTTTCTTTTTAAACCAGCACAGCAGGTAGTGCTTGACAGAGCAGAAGGGTTTTGCTGCCAGTTACGCCACCCTGGTTGCAAACTGGACATGTCTTGAAATGCTCTGTACACTAAAAATTCCTGCCTCTGTCTCAGCCAGCTCCTGTCACCTCCTCAGCCATTTCTGTCCCCCATTCTTGTGCATTCTTCATGTGCCTCTGCAGACAGCACTGAGTCTCTGCCTGTCCAGTGTCCTTGGCGCCACTGTAACTGTCTTTTCCTTGGGGAAGGAATGCCACAGTATTACAGGAAACACAGCAGTAATTCCTGCAAAGTGCTGCTAAATAAAATAAGGAGACATTGCTGGAACAGCAGAAATGCTTTCTAGATTTACATGTTTTCCAACAGTGAGACTCAAACTAGTTACAGAAAACTGCCAGGTGGTTGTGGACACATCAGGCTTTGCTCTTTGTCTTCCCTGCCCTCAGCTCTGCCCAGGTCCAGCCTCTGCTGGGGATCTTCAGCATGTGCTCAGCGAGGTGCTGGGGTCCTTGGCTCCTTCCTCACATGTCTTTGGGCTACAGCTCCAGGTTGATCTCTGTCCTTTCCTTGCTGCCAGGCTTTTGAAGAAGCACAGTGGGGCCTTGTTTGCAGCTGAGCCCTCTGTGTTGCATCAGGTGTTCTCGGGCAGTCAGGGTCATACATTGATGTATACAGTTTTATTAACGTAAGTTTTGATTTTTGCCTGGGGATGTTATCAGCGCGCAGTGGAGTACAGAACCTGCTGTATCTGCACTGGATGAGCTCTCATCTTGTGTCTGGGTTGGTGGAATGGTACTTTTCTGCCTGCAGCAGGGGTGACTGAAATGTCTGGTGTAAGAGACTCAGGGGAGGACAAGGCCAGGAGGAGAGGGGGTGTGACCTATGAGCTGGTCACCGGCTGCTCAGCCAAGTGTTTTGCTCCTATTTACACTGGTTTGGCTCTCTGGAGTAGAATTGCAAAATATTTTGAATACCTTTTTAGTGAAACAATGTGGGACAGTCAAAGAGGGAAAATACAGAATTTTGATGTTTGGGATGTGCTCCTGATTGTGGGAGGTGCCTCTTGGAGTTGTGCAAGGCACTGAGGCAGAGTGCCTGATAACTGTCCCGTGTGTGTGTGTGATGGTGCTGTCAGGGATGTGACTGACAGGAGGCAGCACAGGGATCCCAGCACCTGCTGTGAAAAGGTGACAGGCACAGCCATAGCACTGCTGCAGTCCTGGATGCAGATGTACTTCCCTTGCTGCTGAGGCACAGAGCTTTTTCTGCATGAGCATTTGGGGTGGGGTTTATCACACATTAAAATGAATTAATGCTTATCTGAGTCATGGGCTATGCAAAACACAGGGGAGGCAGAACTCTAAAAACAAAACCTTCAGAGCTGAAGTTCCCATCCTTACCCTGTACCTCTGAATTACCTCTCTGGGGATCAGAGGCTAGCAGGTATTTCAGAAAGCAGTGGATATTTCCAGCCTCTTAGCTAAGCCTGTGGCAGCTGATTAATGCTGCTCCTTTGGAGCTGCTTCTGGAACACTGTGGATTTCACGCTGAAATGGATGCTTTGTGTTGCTCTGGGGTTGGGGAAAGCCAATATTCATGATCTCTGGGAGAATTTGGCTTGGTGGGAGCTCTGCCTTCACCCCTCTGTGGCCTCTGGTAATGCCAGAGGTCATTGAACCCTCAGTGTCTTGTGCTAGAGCTGTTGGTGGTGGATTCTGCAGTGTCTTGAGTCAATGTTGTTTATGCCGCCATAGCCTTTGTTTTCATGTCTCCATTCTTGGATGTGACTCAAGGGATTTTTATCCAGCAGATGATGATTTAACCAGAGTGAGAGTTGGCCTCGTTTCTAAACCTTCATGGCACTCCCCGAGGCTTGTGTTGAAAAACCAATACCTGTTTACATCTCCTGGGTGTCAGATCCCCCGAGGGTGGTGGTTGAAGTGTGGGCAGCTGATTCCTCTCGTTGGCTGCTCTCAGCTCTGCCTCAGGCTGGCATGGAAGGGCTGGAGTCAGATAAGCAGGAGGGGAAGAGGAGCCGTCTGTTGCTGTAGCTCAGCTTGTGGTGTGCTTGTCCTTTAGTGACCCCAAGTGTCTGTCAGCCTGTGAAATGGCATGGGGAAGATTCATGGCTCCCTTCAGCACAGCCAGTCGTGAGGAGTTACACTTTATGTCATTATAGGTGTCAAATCAGCAGGGCTGTCTGCTGCTGCGGCTGTGGGGGTGGGGGGTGGTTTTGTTGCTGATTTCCAACCCCCAGCAATTCCTCAGCTTTCTCAATGTTGTTTTTGCAGAGGGAGATCATCTCTTTAATTCATCAGAGTATTTTGCTGTTGTTGTTTGCTGCTTTGACTCTTCTAGATAACCGTGTGTGGCAAAGCAGGGACAGCCTGGCTTGGGCAGGGTCGCTCCCCTGAGGCAGAGCAGACTGTGCTGGCAGAGGAGCTGCCGTGTTTGGCAGGGGTTGGAATGAAAGATTAACACTTTGCTTTTGTTCCCTCAGGCACCTTAAGGATGTGATCCTGCTGACAGCTATAGTCCAAGTGCTGAGCTGCTTCTCGCTCTACGTCTGGTACTTCTGGCTCTTGGTAAGCCCCAGCCCTGCTGTTTTCCATCTTGCTCTGCATTGTTGCTTTCTTTCCCTGTCTTCAGGATGGAGGACGTTATTTATCCATTTCATTTCAGTGTCATGTTTCAGGCCTGAACTATTTCCTGATATGGTTTTTAATCTCCTTGTCACATCTTGTTTAAAATTTAGACTGAACAAGGCAAAGAAGTCCTGATCCCTCTGGGCCAACCACGCAAAAACTAGGCTGGCCTTTGTCTTTCCCTCTGGTCCCATAAATGGGCAACAAGCAACATGAGGCAGATCAAAGCTGTCTTGGTGCACAGAGTCTTTCTGTGTCTGTAACAAACAGTGTTTCATCATGTTTGGCTCTTTGAGCCATTCAGCATGCACCAAGGCTGGGATCTGCTGCACACTGTGCCTTTGGGTAGATAAAATGAAAAGCTACAGGCTTTCATTCCCCTTAACACACCAAACCTTTTCTGCTCCTTAAACATTTGTCATGTGTCTCCAGCTAAAACTGTGTGAGCAGAAGGAGAAAAAAAATCTCCATTTAGTTTAAAAGCCCCACATCTGCTCTGAGGATATCCCACAGAGGTACAGAAGGCAATTGTGGGAGCATGGAAAGTTATCTCAGTTCAGTCCTTGATCTTATTTCAGTCCTCACCCAAAATTCCTCTCTAGCTGGCCTGGCAGAGGGCAGCCTAGACTCGGCTGTCCCTTGGAGACCATCTGGATTGCTTTTTTCATAAATTCAAAGAAATGTGGGTGTGTTTTCTGAAGGAAGGAGAGGCGGAATGTCTGGACAGTTGGATCCCTCTGGGTAATTCAGACCTGATGCTGGGATTTCCACGCATGAAGTCTGAGCTCTGTATACATTCCTCAACCATGGAATGAAACCAGGCCGTTTATTTTGGGCACCTGCCACTGCCTTTGATTTCCGTGCACCCTGAGATGCCTCTGATCCAGCTGCTTTGTGTCCCTCAGAAGGACCAGCCCTCCTGTCCCCGAGGAGGGACAGGAGTTTGTGGCTGAGTTTGTGCCACGTGTGTTTTGCAGGCTCCGGGGCGGGCTCTCTACCTCCTGTGGGTGAACATCCTGGGGCCCTGGTTCACAGCCGAGGCCTCGCCCGCTGCTCAGGAGCCCAACGAGAAGAAGCAGCGGCGGCAGGAGCGCCGGCAGATGAAGCGCTTCTAGCCCTGCCTGGGCACAGATCAACACCCTCTCCCATCTCCATGCTGTTATTTCATCAGGGATGCGACCAAAACCAATCCAGAACCACCGCAGTAGCTCTGTTGCCCTTTGTCACTGCTGCCATTCCGACAGAAAGGCCGCAAGAGACTTCCCCTGGTTGGGTCTTGGCGTGGGCTGAGGCCTTGCTCCTCGGGCTGACAAGGGGGTGATGCTGGGATGTGTGTAAATATCTTTTTAAAGCAGCGCTGTATTGCATTCAGCGTTGGGGAGTGCAATGCTGGAGGAAATAGTACATTAAAGAGCAGAGTCTTAACTGACCGTGCTGGCAGTGGGTTTGTGCAGGGGAGCTGTGAAAAGTGCCAGCATGTTCTTGGAGAGCTAGGCTAGAGGGGAGCAGAATCCCCAGTGTTCTCCTTTCCCAAGCTTTGTGCTGCCCTGCCTGCTACAGCCTCTGCACCCTGTGAAGAATCTGCAGCTGCCCTGCAGGATCAGGAGTGAGGGGCAGCTGGGGATGCTGAGAACAGGGCTTGCAGCCAAACTTGGAGCTTTTGGGATTGAGCCTGAGCTCTCTGGGGCCACAGACTGGCCTGTGCTACCTTTGCAGGAGCTCAGTGGGATGTAAGACAAGAAGCTGTGGGGTTTGTTTGGTTTGGGTTTTGTTTTGTTTTCTCTTAAGAGGGTACTCCCAGGGGTGCCATGACTGCTCCAGAGCTCATGTGTTAAAGACCAGGAACAGGGCAGTTTTTACTTTTGCCTGATTTGATGTACTGATGTCCTTGTCCAGTATGTTGTTTGTCACAGTCCATGACCCCTTCCAGCCCCTGACACACCAGTTCAGACTATGCAGCTTTGCCTGTGCCAGCAAGAGGCACAGTGGGTGTTCACAGTGGTGCCAGCCAGGGTTTCGATGCTATCCACAACCTTTTGCCCACACGTCTTTTCCATTACATCACCTTTATTACACGCTTTTTTCCTAACATCAAACCCAGTCCCCACCCTGAGTCCTCAAAGCCAGGCAGGGTGGCCATAGCTGGGGTGCAGAGCTGGGCAGAGATTGGTAATGGGGGACTCAAGTCCTTCCTGCTGCTGGTGGAGGACATGAGGGATGGGGTGGGGAGTGGAAAAGGCATCCATGGGGCGATCTGTGGGTGCAGTGCAGCCCTTATTCCCTGCCAGGCACAGCCCAGAGCCCCCAGCCCTGTCTCTGGCCCCAAGTAGGTGCCCCCACAGTGCTGGGAGCACTCCTGGTACCCTACAGCAATCCCCCCATTGCAACTCCCCCAGCACAGCCTTCTGCACTCAGGGACCAGCACATCGCCCCAACTCTGCCCTCACTCTCCCTGAACCCTCTTGTCTGGCTCCCCAAAGCCACGTGGAGCAGCACAGGCATCCCCAAAATACACAGGGAGGATGCAGGGGACACATCAACACAACCACACGGGCCCTTGGCCGCGCTACCCTACACAGCGCTACATGCACAGCGCCCGCCTCGGGCTCTGCCCTCCGCTCCAGCCCCAGTAAAACCCAGTAAACAGCACCAGTTACACCCCTGGGGTGCTGCTTCAGGGGGTGCCCCTCAGTCAGGCAGCAGCTGCTCCAGCTCTTCCTCGTTCAGGCCATTGGTGGTGACAATGTGATCCAGCTGCTTCATGTACCGCTCCAGGTCCTGCATGAAGTGGGGGATGCGAGCCTTCTCCAGGACCCCGAACTCCTTCAGCCGATTCACATCTTCATAGGACACCTGGAAGGAAGGAGATGGGGGTCAGTCCCCTCCACCCCAAACCCTGGCAGGTGCCATGGGGGGCATCTGGTGCCCTTGCAGCCACCCTGGGTCAGTCCGAACATCCCTGCTGCTCGTGGGGAGGCAGTAGGAGAGCTGCTGGGGGTGTGGGATTTGCAAGGATTTGTGGGTTTGGTAATTTTCGGTCACTGCAAGGACAGGTGACAGCAGGACTGCTGTGGCCAAGGGCCAGAAAGGCTTAACCTGCTGGGTTAAGCCTCTTCCCGAAAGTCTCCCACAGAGGATTATGGATTGTTCTGTCCTTCCTTGCATCCTACCCAGCACAGCCTTTCCCTGGTACACAGAGATCCGTGAGCTCAGGGAAAGACAAAGAGCTGAAGGGCTGCCAAGCAAGGGCTGGTTTTTGGGAAGCCACGCGATTCAGGGTGCCTGTGTGAACTTTGGGGTGGGATAGGAGTGTGGGATCAGCCACCCCCTGCCCACCCTCACCCTGGCTCTTACCTTTCCAAGGGCAGCCAGCAGTGGGAAGTCGATGGTCTGCCGATGGCGCAGGATGCGGAGAATCCCGTCCAGGTACACCTGGTCCTTACTGAAACAGCCTGGAGCAGCAGAAAAGGCCTGGGAGAGGGCTCCTGGCTTCCACCACCCTCCCCTTGCCTGAACGTTTGCTGACCACAATAACCAGAATGTGGGCACTGCCCACAAGTGTGCCAGGGCTCAGGACTGCCAGGTCCCAAGGGGTGACTACTGGGGAGGCAGCCGGGTGCAGCCAGAGCCACAGACCCTACTGGGATACTTCCCAAGTAATCCCCAAGTAATTTTTTCAAAGGATAAACCACTGCAAGAATCCAAATGTAACCAAATGTAACCAAATGTTTCTTCTCCTTCCCCTGCTGCTTCCCCAAGAGCTTGTGCCACTCCCATGGAGAGGGATACAGGGACTGGGGGCGATGGCTGTGTTGGGAGGAAAGGGTTAAAAGCAAAACTCTAATCTGGAGGATTGTAAATTGCTCAAGTGACCTTGCACCTGGGTGTAACTCTTGATAAGCTTGTGAACAGCAGGCTGGTGACCCTTTGATCTTGTGTTCCTCTGCCCAGGTGTTGGGTGTTGCTCTGGGGATCCCCCAGTCAGCGAGGTAATGCAAATAAATTTACTTTTTGTGTTCTAGCCATGAGTTTGTGCCTGTTCTGGCTGCCTGTGCCAACTCACACTCTACAGGACTGGTGATGCTTAACCTACACAGCAGCAGAACATACCACACTCTGTTTTTTCTTAAAACAACAAAAAAGAAATATATATGATAAGTCAATAGAATTCTTCCCAAAGCTCAGTTGAACCCTGCAGTGGTACCTGGCTGTGAGGTGTCCGTCTGGCCCCGCTTTGCCCGCACACAGTACTCCCACCGGACCCCAGCATCCTGCACGTACTGCTCCAGGTCCTGGAAGAGGGCAGAGAAGGAGAGGTGGCTGGCCCTCTCGATGGTGTAGTAGAGCAGGGCAGCCCGCCACAGGAAGGGCTGCTTGCGGAACAGGACGCTGTGCAGGCTGGCCAGGCCCTCCTCCGTGGGGTTGGCGGGCTTCAGGCTGTACTGCTTGCGGCCCTCGGAGCTGTGCCACGGCTGCCGCGTGTTGTTCACCCCCCGGATGTAGTGGGTGCCTGGGGAGAGGGGACAGGAGTGAATGCCCAGAGCGTCCCCCAGCTCTGCCCCCGCCCACAGCAGCCCAGCTGACCGATCTCGTGGCGCAGCATCCCCTCCAGCCAGTGCTGCCGGGCTCCGGCCAGGTTGATGGCCAGCGTGGGCCGGCTGTCCTCCACCATCATCACTGCCTGCGACAGGAGGTCATCGGTCAGCTGCACCACCACCTGCAGGAGGAGGAGGAGGACACGGCCATGAGCGGGGCTTGGCTCTCAGCACAGGCTGAGATGGTGGCAGATGGTCAGAAATATCCATTGACACCATGGATGGTGCTGTTTGGCACTGCTGCACCATCACTGGGCTGTGCTGCAGCTCCCCAAAGGAATGACAGACAGCAAGAGCCACTGGGGGTGGGGGGATAATGAGAGGAGAGAGATGATCTCATGCAGGGATGAAGTAGCTCCTTTAATCTCTTTACAGCCAACAAAGCTGAGCAGGCACTGTGGGGGGAGCAGGCAGCTCCTGGGCAGCCTCTTGCAGTGCCCCTCTGGCTCCAGCATCACCTCCCCAGCTTGTTCCCATGGGCTCCCCAGCCCTTTGTGGCCACAGAGGATGGACATTCTCTGGAGAGCTGCCTGGTCCCCCTTCTGCATCCCCACTGGCAATGGGATGGGGCAGTAACTTTGGCCATCAAAACAACCCCACTCTGAACACCCAACAGCACCCAACAGCTTTGTAATGGCTCTGCACTCCCCAAGAAACATCTCCTGAGGGATCCAAGGTTTTGGCTCCATTTTCAAGGACTTCTCCACAGATTCTCTCATTTGAGGCTTCAAGACATGAGCAGTGAGGATGGCTCCAAGCCAGTCCACCCTCACAGGAGGAACCGAATGTGCTGGCCACAATTCACAGCAGGGATGGGCATTGCATGTGTAGGGCTATTCAGTATTTTTATACAGAGAAAATGGTATTTTGAGAAACTTTGCTGTCACAGGTGCTGGAGCCAAGAGAGCTGCTCACCAGAAGTTAACTTGCCAGCCAGCAGCACTTTCTGACCACTCGACTTCAGATCTGCAGCAGCTCAAAGCTGCAGCATCACCAGGAATGGTCGCTTGGAGCTCTTGTATCTGAGGTTTGGCAGTGGCAAACCTCAGGATAGCAATCAAAATCCCCTACATACCTATTAACTCTATAAACCACCTGTTATTTCACAACTGACACTTTTCAGGATGAAAGCATGTGCCTGTGTTACAACATGACAATTCTTCTCTTATTAAAAAAAAAGAGAGGAGACTGAATTGGTTTGCTTGAAGTCAGATTTATTATTATTATGAAAGCCAAAAGTGCAGCCTAACAGAGTCCACCACTGGGCAAACAAACAGCATCAAATACTTACAGTGCAATTGCTTACCTGGGTTAAAATATATCAGTGTGAAAAGGAATCCCTCCAGTGCTGAGCCTTGTCATTTCACCTCTGACTCCTCATGCAGAACCAGCCATCCAGGAGCAATGGAAAAGGACTCTGGACAGTGCCAGAAACCACAGCTTCTTATGCTGCCCACTGGCAGCCCTTCTCCTGCTACAAAACCTCATCCTGCTGAGCAGCACCACTTGCCTTATTTTGAGATCCTCCAGCTTGGCAGGAACAACAAGGGCTGCAACTCCAGCCAAAGAGCAGCAGGACCAGCTCTCCAGGTCTGTGACCTCTCTCATTCTGAGCAGCATCCCCAGTGCATCCTTGTGGTCCATGGTTTTGCTCAGCTTTTGTGATGCACTGATGGAGAAAGAGCTCATCCCAAGGAACCAAGGGAAGGCTTCTGGTGGTCCCCATGGCACTGGGGTATGGGTTCCTGTCTCTCCTGGCATTGCTCAGGACCTCTGACACTGAGCAAGCAGCTCAGAGGTAGAGGGAGGCCATTGATGGGATCCCAAGAGACAGCAGCTAGCACTGTTTATGCTGACAACACTCCACAACCCCAGGGATTGCCATGCAGCACTTACCAGTGGGGCCAGGTGTTTCTCTGCTGCAAGCTGTGAGCCCACTGAAATCCACATGGAAACCTCTGGCAGCATCATGTCTGTCCTAAGTCAGAAGAAAAGCAGAAGAGCTTCAGGATCTGCAGCTTGGACTCCAACAAAGCAGCTTTTGAGGGCATAAATTTAATTCCAGCACGAGCACTTACCCAGGAGCGGTGCTGGGAGCGGGATCCTGCCTTTGCTGATCGGTGCTGGGGACAAAGGGCAGCTGCAGGGGCTGCACCAGCCTGGCCACGCTGCCTGCCAGGGCTGCCCCTGGGCAGGGACACACCATGCTGTGCTCTGGGCTAACACTATCCCACGGGAGGTTCTTCTCTTTTGAGCAAGCCACCACGATTAGTACGGACCAGGGAAGCAAAGGGCACGGCAGAACAGACACAGATGGTGAAAGTCAGGAATCAGAGATACAGGTGCAGGGAGGGAGACACAACCTGAAACCACCCAGCTCCCTGACAGGGTGTGAGATTATCAGTGATGCAGAAGTCTCAACAAGTTTTGGTGTTGTACAGGGAGCAAGTTCTGCCAACGTGGCTGTATTGAGAGCAGGTGAAACCCTTCTCTCTTCTACCCCAGACACATCCAGCAAAATTTCCACTGGACAGAAAGGAACAAACCAATCCTTTCATTGTTTCCAAAGCACTTATCAAAGGCCCCAGATAAAACAGCCCCACCAATGTGCAAACAGTGACTGAACTCTGCGTTGCCTTGAATCACAGAATGTCCTGAGCTGGAAGGGACCCACAGGGTTCATTGAGTCCAGCACCTCTGAGCCCAGGGACAACTACACAGGGCTGGAAGGAAGCCAGTTGTACACCAATACGTAAGAGAATCAATGGCTTTTTGCCCAGCCAGGGCTCAATTAATGGAGAACAGAGTAGCTGTATTTGATCAATTAATAAACCCAAGAGATAGAGCTCAACTAGCAAGGTGTAAGTGCAGGTCTGTAAGACTGGCAGCTGCTTGGCTGGGTATTGGGACTGGCTCTGGGCACTCAAAGGCAGATGAATTATAGGGAAACATCTGCAGAAATCTGTTCTGTCCCAAGCAAAGGCTTAGGAGGACCAAGGTGCCAAATCCACATGCCAGGAACATCCTCAGGAGGCATCAGGGCAAACCAAGGGTGTTTGAGAAGGAAATGAAATATCCTTGGGCAGGAAGGACCTCAGGGGAGTACTCATTCCTGCTTTCCCTGCATGGAATGCACTGGGTACCACTGGGTGAGGTGATACTTTGGAGAAATGCTCACCAATAACCCTCTTTGGAGACAGAGGTGAAAAATCAGAGATAGGAAATAGAGTCTGGCCAAGAAGCAGTGGTGAGGAAGCCCCCACACCAGCCAGCACTGCGCAGTCCCTGCCCTGCAGCCAAAAACCCCAGGGAGCCCTGCAAGCCAACCCACACAAAGCCAGGTCCAGAAATCCTTCTCAGACTTTGAACCCAGGACAGTGAAAGTGTTTTGCCCACACCTTGCTGGCAGAAGGGATAAAAAAAGCTCCTTAATGGCAGCTGTGGCATGCTCCATGCTGGATGCTGCAGGGAGTGCAGAGAAACCAGGTTAGGAGATGATGAACTTCTCCCCTGGCTCCATCCCACGTGGCTACTGTTGTATCTTAACCACGTATTTCCCAGCCTTAAAACCCAAGCCTGGGGTTTCAAAGCACCATAACCTGCATGTCCTGCAGGACAGCAGGAAATCTCCTCCCCTGGCTTTGCTTTTGGACATGTGGGTTAAGGCAGCTGTCAGAGAAGTCTGTCCTCCCACTGCCAACAGCAAGAAATGACTTCCCAACAGTAATTGATGCCTCATGCACGCAGCAAAAGGCTCCTGGCATGGCCATGCAGACAAGCAGCACCTGCTCCCTCTCTCTCAAGCACAGAAGGGAGATACACATGGAAAACATCACAGAAAGTTTGTGGGGAACCAGCACCCAAGTCCTAAAGCTGGAGTATGGTGAAGCTGGAGGTGAAAGGACACCACTGCTCGGAGCAGGAAAGCTTCCTCTTTGTAACCAAAACATTTCTTAATCAGAGTCCTTTTTATCAGAAAATAAATATTTTGCTGTGTTTTACAAGTGATAAAGCAGGGATGTGGATTACCTCTCCCACACAGCCCTCCTTCTGCATGTACTTTCGGATCACAGACCAGATCTGGCACTTGCTCAGCAGCCGCCCGCCCGTGGCCACCTCAAAGCTCTCGTAGGTCCCGTACTTCTCCAGCACAGCACGGATGATCCTGATGGCCTGTGGCACACAGAAAGTACAGACATAAGCACAAACACCTCCCTGCTTACAAATACAGCCTAAAATCCCACATGCAACAAACCCAGTGAAGGCGACCCCGATTAACCCCTCTAAAATACCACGTGGTTTTGCACGACCTAAAAAACCAAGAAGACTGAGCTGGCTGGAGGTGGCTACCAGGACAGACAGACACTTCACACAATCAGCATCACCCACAGCATACTCCTTCTGCTTTCTGTCACCCTTGCAGGCA